TTCTAGAGGAAGCAAAGGCTAGAACAACCTTACTCCAAGATGGAAGAATTACTTTATTAGACAACCGTACGTAGATCAAATAAGATTAATTTTTATCGAAGATGTACTAACCAATGGTGTTTCGGAAAATTAAAGCATATGCTAAAGGAAACACTAGAGAAAGGTTCAATCCTATCACTGGTTTCAGATACGCTCAAGGAGTCAATCATGATTCGATCGATTCAGATTTGTCAGAAGAGTTAGATAGAAATCAATTGAAACCTCCACAATTCCAAAGAGGTAACACTTATAAAGGACCAGATCGCTTCACTAACGAGAACTTCCAAAGAAACAAAGAGAATTTTAGAAATGAAGGTTTTGTTAATAACAGAAAGAATAATAGGGGTAGAAATTCCAGGAAAGATATCTCACCAGGTCCTTATCAAAAGTTTGTGAAAGGACGAGATAACTATGAACCCAGAGACAAAGGAAAACAAGTGTGAGTAATTTATGGTATAAGTGATTGATATACAACAGTGATTAAGTTGGTTTTGTGTTAAACAGGTCAAGCTCCTTTGGTAGAGAAGATGATCCACCGAGACAGTCAACTTCCAAAGACCATTTGTAAGTCTCTAATGTAGATTGGACCTATTTGTAATTCGAGATCACTTTGTTATAAGTAATAGAAAATAATATGAAATGAATATTATTTGTCAGTGCATTTGAATCGAACTTTTACAATAATTGCCATGATGGAAGAGATAGTGAGAATAATACATCTTGGCCATCGCCGGTCAGATGTGATATGAATATAAATGTGTGGGAGGAACAATTGAAACAATACGGTTTGTTCGAAAAATATGGATATTTAATTGAAGGGTTTAAATATGGTTTCCATCAAGGAGTACCAAGTCATGTAGTGAAAGACCTTAAATACTATTGTCCTCCAAACCATAGCTCAGCAAACAATGCGAAATTCAAAATTGAAATGAATATTGAAAAGGAAATCGCGGCAAAAAGAATGTTCGGACCGTATGAAAAAGAGGAAGTTTTTGGAAAGTTGGGCTTCTTCAGAACTAACCCGTTAGGTGCTGTTGAAAACGGTGATGGTACGTTCCGTCCAATAAATGATATGTCTTATCCTCACTTCGACAAAGATATTAGATCAGTAAACTCGTATGTCAACAAACAAGACTTTGAAACAACTTGGGACGACTTCAAAGTCGTAGCGCTGTTTATTAAAAGATTAAAAGAAGATATTGAAATGGGAATTTTCGACTGGGAAGGAGCATATAGACAAATCCCGACTCACCCATCACAATGGCCTTATCTTGCCATAATGGACTTTAATGGAAGGATTATTATTGACATTATGATAGCATTTGGAGGTGTTGGAGGATGCGGGTCCTTCGGTGGCCCAGCTGATGGTTGGAAGGAATTGATGAAAGCGAAGTTTAAATTACTCAAAGCGTTTCGATGGGTTGACGACAGTTTGATGATTAAGAGAAAAAGCGACACAACGACAATGCTAGATATAGTTAAAGCTAGCGAGAAACTGGGAGTGAAGACGAACGTAACGAAATACGCGGATTTCGCAGATGAACAGAAGTTCATCGGATTCGTGTGGAACTGCGTTAATAAAACTGTCCGACTTCCTGACAAGAAATTGAGGAAAAGAAAGTTAGAAGTTGATCAATTCCTAAGCAAAACGACATGTACAAAGAAAGAACTCCAGAAATTCAATGGGAAACTCAGCCACGTAACGATGATCTTACCCCAACTAAAAAGCTATTTAGTAGAAAGCTTTAGCTACGTGGCAACTTGGAAGTCGCCAGGTCGAAGGACAATTCCAGAATCGATAAAAGAAGACCTACATTATTGGAAGGCTTACTTGGCGGACCTGAATCCGACAAAGATCATCCCTGACCACATTGTAAAAAATGTGGGTTGGGTAGGTGATGCTTCGACCGACTTCGGGATAGGGATTATCCTCGGACGAAGCTGGTCGCAATTCAAATGGCTGCCAGGGTGGAATGAACCAATAGGGAAACCTAGACGGACCATAGCCTGGGCAGAGACTGTTGCGGTCCGCCTAGGTTTGCTAATGTTGAAAGAAAAAATGAAAGATTCACCTATTGGTTTGGCCGCCCTGAAATACTCATGTTTGACTGACAACACCACGACCGAAGGCGTCACAAGAAACCGGAAATCGAAAGATTACTGGGTGAATAGAGAATGGAGAATTGTTCAGGACTTACTGGTTCAGTTTGACTGTGATCTCAACTTGGTCAGGGTAACTTCGAACGACAATGAAGCCGGCCAGCTGTCGAGAGGAATGAACCCTTCGAAGAAGTTAGATCACCTCATAAAGGTAGACATCCCAGACGACTTAAAACCCCTCCTGACACAAGTTTTTCCGCTGATTAAACATCATGACAACCGCTCAGAAGACACTCCGTCAATCCGCCCCGAATATCTTTCGCAAGCTTGACAAAGTTAGCGAAGTGATCCTTGCTCACGGTTGGGCCCCATCTACTACTCGTCAGTACGCGGCTGCTGTACAAAAATACTTCCTTATTCCCCTTTCCTGCGACCGCGGAGGACATCTACCACTTCGTTGTGTGGTCTAGCGATTCCGAAATCAAACACTATGTAATCAGTAACACGACAAAGCGATACCTTACGGGACTACGTATGTGGCACACTTTACACGGCGTTCCCTTTCCCAAACTTGACCTCGATCGCCTTCACATCCTTTTAAAAGCGGCTAAAAAGTTCGATGTGAAGCGCTCAACCCAACCTAGAACTGGATTGACCCTGATGGACCTCAATAACTTGATAACTCGACTAAACGTCGACACCTTGGCGAACCTAACGCTAAGGGCAATCCTGCTCGCGGGCTTCTGGGGCTTAGCGCGACTTGGTGAACTGACGCTTCACCCAGATCACCCAGAGGTGTTCATTCGACGTAGAGACGTATCATTTCCCACGGCGAACACGGCGGTCATCCGGTTGCGACTAGCGAAGACGGCTGCGCCGGGGGAAGATCAATTTTTACACCTCCGTCGCCAACCCAACCACCTCGACCCACTAAAGTCCATCGAAGACATTCTTCGCCTTGATGGCTCACCGGACGACCCCCTCTTTAGAGGATCTTCCAGGCATGTGCCTTTGTCAAAGGGTTGCGTACTAGCGTTACTGAAACACCACCAACCACAAGAAGGAGCCTGCTGGTCCGGCCACAGTCTTCGCATCGGTGGCGCTTCATTACGGGCGAACCTCGGTTGCTCCAAATCGTCACTCAAGCGCGCAGGGCGTTGGCGCTCCTCTGCTTACAAAGTCTATATACATCGTTATTCACCTTCTGTGATGTCAGGTACCCGGTTATTGGCGCGTCATCTTAACAACTCGCGACTTGTAGACTAATATGATCCTCCTTTGTGCGTTTTTGTTCGCGGCTTGTTATACTATATGTTTGTGATGCCACTGCCATGAGTGCTCCGTGAGCTTGTCTCCATGAGAGTGGGTTTCGAGCCCCTTCACAGGGTCTTGGCTCATTTGAGCCTTCGCTCCCTGTAGATGGGTTCGAAGGGTCTTTCCCCCACTCACATGTTCGTAGCTCAGACCGAGAGGATCTGCTTCTCAAACTCAGGATTGAGAAGGGTCTGGTCTGAGCTCTAGGCGCCTCCCGCAGTGTACTGCACTCACTAGCTTGTACAAGCTAGCAAGCGCAGGTCGCACATCCCATGCCTAGACATGTGATATGACTACCTCTGCGCTTTATCCTCACGCTTGGAGGATAAAGACATGGACAAGCTAGCCCTGTGTTGGATTTTACAACACCAACCCTAAACTGTTTCAGGAACAAGGGCAACTGGGACGTCCCCGACAGTGCTGACTGTCAGCTGACAGTAATCACTTTCACATCCCTTTTGCAGACCTTACAAACCCGTGATATCCTCTCAAGTTACACACACTCCTTTCTTGTGTGTCACATCATTGTCACATTTCTTGGATGCACCAGTCACAAGAGACTCAATCAACCTTCAAACCAAGTCAAAGTAGAATCATCTTGTCATCAACAACAAATAACCAATCAACTGTCAAATGACCAAGCAACAAAGACAAATCCAAGTTTCCCTTATATCACCCTACCTCAAATTAATCATGCTCATTTTGATGAGACTATCACTTCAAATCCTTCCTTTGATATAATATATCCACCTTGTGAGTAAAGTTTCTTTGGCTTGGATCATATGCTAAGTCTTACATCAACACATTGATTCAGATTATTTCAACTTTACATGAGGCACGAAATGTGGAGCAAGTCCACAAAGGTGTGCCTCGAGAGATCAAGAGTAAGAATACCTGTAAGAAATGAAATTTGAGGGAGTTAATCTCCCTATCCGGTCATTTGAATTTCCTCTTTGGGAATCAATGTAATGAGTAAGGAAGATACAACATCATCATCCACAAAACCCCTAACGCAAAGAGAATTGGTTAAAGAGCATCAATTAAATATCACGCTACACTTTCCATTTCTCTCTCGCCGGTTTTTCTCTCCTTCCTTGAAGTTTCCAAATTGCTCATTCCTCTCCATCTAGTCTCTACATTTTCCTAATAGTCCAGTCTCACATATTATAACCTAGTCTTAAAGAGGAATCCTTTCAAGATCCCTAGGAAAGATTCCCTTTTTCAATACCACCCCGCCCTCCCTTCAGATGAGAAGAAATGACATGTGTTTCATTTCTTCCCCATTTTGGGGAGACTCTGGCTCCTGCCCACGTCTTTCTAAGGAATGACCCTTGCATGTTCCAAATGGCAGGGTAAAAACCCGCCCCAAAGGAACAGGTAAGGGTAATCCCTTAAAACTAGCCCTCTCAAGACTCTTAGTAGTTCTTGAGAGGGCTTCTAGCCCACACGGGATCCATCCTTAACCAGCACAAGCTGGGTAAAGATGGAGCCATCTTTTAAGAAAGATAATGTGAGTCAGGACTAGTGGACACTATGTTCACAATAGTATGGGCCTCTCTCTACTTGCAACTGCTTGGACTTTCTTCTGTGTCAGTGGAAGTGTCTTCAACCCAAATGTGGCCATTGCACTTGTACTCACTGGAGCGATCAAACCAATGTAGGCTTGTGTTTGAACTCGCGTTATGGGTTGATTTGAAAATATATGATCCCCAGATCTCAAAATCTACTGAGAAAGATCTTTTTGAACTTGGGCTTCTTTCTTTTTTATATTTTGTTCAGGTGTTTTGTCCTTTACGTTTGTGCAGAGGTCAGTCTACTCCCAATTGAACATAGACTTATCAACAACTTGAGTCATGGATCATCAAACTAATCCTTTTGTTATTCCAAAAATCACAGGTTCTTGGTGGTATAGTCGCTTCAGCACTACTTAACGCTGCTCTTCCTGGAAAATTGGCCGTGGATTGTACACTTGGACCCGGTGTAACTCCCGCTCAAGCCATCATTGTGGAAGGCTTCTTGACAACAGCTTTGACATTAACTGTCCTGCTGGTAGATGTTGAAAAGCATTGGTCTACTCCATTTGCACCATGTGCCATCGGATTGGTACTTTTTGCTACTCATTTTTTTGGGGTAGTATTCACTGGAGCTGCCGTAAGCCTCTCAAAATATCAATTCTTCAAGTTGCATCCCAAAACTTACATCAATCTTCTTGAACAGCTAAACTCTGCCAGAGCATTTGGTCCCGCACTGGTGAGTTTTCTTGATGTCTGGAATTGTTTTGAGCGATTACTCACTTCCTGCTCCTCTACATTCAAGTCAATTCATCATCTGACACATTGGTATATTCAATTTATTGGGTAGGACCCTCAGTTGGTGCATTGGTTGCGACTGCTCTTTACCATCTGTAAGATCCACAGCATTTTTCTAAAGAAAAAGCATCCTCAGATGATGGTTTCAACTTCTTCTATTTAGTCTCAAAGCCGTCAATTTATATTCACTCTCCCCTAAGCAAGATTCTGATCAAAGGGACGACTCTCCTGACCTAATGGGAATCAAAGTGAAGATGTGACAAAGAAATAGTTTTGGAAGCTCAGATGGATCTCATCTCGGACCCAGTGGCACAAGAAGGTACCATAACAAAGAAATTACCCCCAGACACTTCAACCAGCCAGGCTACCAGCACTCAGGACCCCCACCCTTCATACCAAATCCCAAATACATGCACCATAGCCCTTATGGAACCCAACAAGAACAGTATCACTCATATGATCCCAACTCTGCTGTCGGATATCCGCTTGACAAACCTCACAAAACTCAACACGGTGGAAACCCAATCAAGTTAGCATATCCAAAGCGCTCCTCTCACCTCTCATCTGGAGAAAAAAATTCTCAGGGATATCACCATCATCATCATCTTCATCATCATCAACCTTCATCAGGATCTAATAAACCTGATTATCCACCAGCAGGCAGCTCAGATGAACCCAAAGAGATTCTGGTTTGGTCCCGTACGGTGTAGTGCCACTTCAGCCAATTGGTTCTCTACATCATCATCATTGCTGAAAAAATCTATCAAAGTTTTAATCAGATAATTTCTTGAAAGACAAATCTGTAAAATATTACTGCTCTTACAATTCACAAACAAAAACTATATAACACTACGCCAAATTGAAAATTTACCGCTGAGTTTAGAAAATTGAGAAGACATAGAAAATTATGGAAAATCTGGGAGGGGTCAGAAAAATATGAAAAAATATTGGTTGGGCCCTTTGGTGCATTCCAATCATCTGGCATATTTTTTCATATTTTTACAACCACAATGCAAATAATGTCAGAAACCCAATTTTGGTCCAAAACTGGCAGGTAGAGAGACAGTGACCTTGCAACACCAACAAAATCATCAATTTTTCTCCAACACATGTAATGTCTTGACATTCTGAATTCCACATTCTGGATCTACAGTTTGTGTGCACAAAAAAGCTGTGTGTCTCCAATAATGGGTGAGATATATCAAGAGACGTACACAGCAGAAACCATATATAAGCATAGAAGTCATAACTACAATGGCTTCAGCACCTTAATAAACCTTGTAGAGACATCATGCGGCTTCCATAAATTGCAAGTGTTCAGATGATTGAACAAAAATACTCATATTTTTGTGCTTGGAGGTTTTTGCCCAAATATTGCTAGTTTTGGACCAAATTTGAGTTTCTGACATAATATCCCCTGTGAGCATTTTGGTTTGGGGAGACTTCAAAAATCATGGCAAAAATATGCAAAAATATGCAAAATGAGGGGACAGCACCCATGAATTGAATCATTATTTTTTCAAATTTTTCTGACCTCCCCTGTATTGGTGATATTTTTCTACAGTTTCAATTTTCTGAACTCAGCGGTAAATTAGTGATCTGGCGTAGTGTAAGAAATGAAACATGTGTAAGATATCAAATGTATTCACTAACACATTCAATCTCTTCTTCTTCTATCTTTTTGTTTTCAAATCTTGATGTTTCTATCTGTCAGCCCTGAGCCCTGATTACACGACCACGGGCTAACAGTACCACATTTAATATTATATTATTGTATAAATCCATAAGTACATCTCAAGGCTCAGTGTCAAGAGCCACATAAACACATGTACGTAATGCATTAAATACGTAACAAACCTAACCCAAGCGCCAACCACAAGTGAGACAAGAATCACACGCCAACCACAAGTTGACGCTTGACCTGTGAATATATAAACCCACCTTCTTCCCTTGATTCATCTCCTATCTTTTAACACATCACAACATCAGAATCACATTACACTTGAAATCCTATAGACAGGATCCTCGAGTACGTGATTAGTTGTGTAGTCTAAAGACCAAACTTGAGCATCACGGGTTCTATTGCTGAGCACCCCGGTATTGATTTCTACAAGCCTTGGGCCATCATATCCTCTAGAAATAAAATGTAAAGCAGCAAATCTTCCTCCCTTATACAGAGTCTAAAGTAGCCTTCAGGATCTTTGGTTAACCAAAGTGTAAAGCCTGCCCCTTGCAGTCTCACAAGGTTAGATCGTACTAGCTCTTTACCACCCTTAATCCCCTTCTCCCTTCTTCAAATCCTCTTCTTAGAGGTCAACTAGCTGTAGTCTTCACTTGTGTGTACCACGTGAATACCACACTTTACCTCCCTTATCACTTTCTTAGTGAAGAGTACACCTAACAGACGTGCACTCCTCACACTATCCTTTTGTTTTATATGCACTTGTCATTAGTCATTGCATTTTTCTTCTTCTTTTTTGTTGTTGTCAGAAAAAGCACCTATTAATTCTTGAAGAAAAAATTGTTCAAGTACTATCTTACCTAACTTTGAATTCAAACAATCTCCAGCTTTCCCTTTCTTTTTTTACTTATAAACCATCGAGTCCACAAAAACTTCATCCTGATCTATGCTGAGAGTTGTAACAACCACATGAGCACATCTTGTGTGGTTCGCTGTTTAGTGAACTCCCTTCTATGGGGTATCAACTCCCTCACCCTGATTTGCCTGGTCAATTCCAAGCCTTTAGTATACTTTCAAGTTGACACTATGTTGATTGAAAAATTTAAAGGCTCTACTCAGAGCTTTCTATCATCCTTTCAGGTCGCGTGTCAATGAGGTCGTATGAATTGTCTGTGACACTGACTCATTGGCGCATATTGTGGTTTATATCAGCGAGAGAAGGCCCCAAAAGTAAGATCAATTTCTGTAGACTGTGGTTGAAGCGTATATCAATAGCAAAGCATATCTTTAGGGTCATCAATCTCTATATGTCAACCAAACTAAGAAGAATCACAAGGAAAAAGTCAGTGTCAAGGGGTCATGAGCATATAAATTCCTACAAGTCAAACAGGCCAAATTATATCATGACAGGTCTTGATAAAGTTCTAACCAAGGAATTTACTTTATACCAGCTGAAGGGATAGCTCTTGAATATATAGTGGCATGGGTGATGGGTGACAGTCTAGATTCCCAAATTAGTCAATGATGATGATGAGAAGATGAACGTTTTTTGAATCAAAGTGAAGTTGAATGAAAAAAAGTTGAATCAGATTGAGAATGATTAAAATTGATTGAAGAATAATTAGTTTGATGATGATGGATTGGAATCAAAGGCAATGGAAATTTTGGTGGTTCTATCTTCTATAGATTCTGTAACCGCTGATTCATTGACCACAGTGATTCAGTTGGGGGTAATCCTAATAAGTTGTGTTGTAATTGTGGTTTGTATCTGCTGATGTCAATGCTGTTGGTGAACTGCTCACAGAAAGGTTGACCAACCGTACTTGGAGATACATACAGGGATGCAGGTTTGAGCAACTCACGCTCATAATCTGGGCGCGGGGTCCGAGAGACTCATGTTGAGTACCACACGATCTAGTGACAACCTAGAGTTCAAGACTCTGTCTGTATGTAAATCTAGGGTTGCCGTGAGGACGGTACTCATTATATATAGCCCCGTCTGCGAGTCCTAGGCAAATTGACCGACTCACCTCAAAGCCCAACTCATGTGTGAATCTACTCTGAGTGAGTAAACTCACTTGTGCTCAGTGCGCGAGTGCTCATTACCACTGCCAACATTTTTATCTCGGATCTCACAATCCAAGGTATTCTCGGGTCTATGCCCTTGGACAGCTCTTGTCTGAGGATTTGATCCGAGCCAATTCATGACGCACAAGATTGCCTCGGATTGAAACCTTGGACAGGATTTATCCGAGGATATGCATCCGATGATGCCTCGGATTTCTCAACCCAAGGCAAGTATGTTGGCAGTGTACTCATATGAGCACTCTCACTGGGGGGGGGGAACTTTGGGGTCACCGGCTGAGATGTAAAGTGTCTCTTAATAACGAAGTGGTGGTAATTCAGGGCGCTCATTTCATAGATTTGTAAAGACAAACAGATGTGACATCAACAAACAAAGGCGCTCATTTCATAGATTTGTAAAGACAAAGAGATGTAACATTGAAATTGTAAATGTATAATTTCTTCGGGCTATTTTCATGTTTTTCTAAAAACAAAGACGGGTCTCAAGTGAAAAAGGATAGAAACAAAAAAGAATCCTAGTCCTCTAAGTCCATGGACGCGTCGTTGTTTGTGAGCCAGTGTCGGATGAGGACCAGGTGACATATAATGTCAGTGTGGAGACGGCCCCTGGAAGGGACGGCTATGTTAAAAAACTCTTGCAACTGAAGCACCCAAAGCTGGAATTGTGAGATGTTGGAGGGCAATTTCAGCCAAAGTGGGAAGCGCGCCGGTCTTTGCCATACGCTGATGGGTGCAGAAAGAGTCAGCTGAGACACTTGAAAAGGATTAAGAAACGGCCTGCCAAAGATTGAAACAGACTTATGGTCCAATACTGTCCCACAGTTTCGTCGGGTAAGACTGGCTCCTTGCCCGAACAGTAACGGTAGACCTCGTCAAGTTTGGCACTTGAATTGTTAATTGGTGTTTGGGTGCCACTGCCCAACAAGGAATAAATGGCCTGAAGTTTGCTGGCTACAGGGCGGCGGTCAGTCACAGGAGCTGGAGCTTTGTCATGCGCGGTTTCGGTAGGGCTTGGTTTCCAGAGCTCGTATTTGTCTCGAAGGCATTTCTTGGCACGAACCTCGATGTCTTCACAATCACAAAATACAGTGTCTCGGTTATAAGGGTTGAGAACAGTAGCCACCAACATCTGATGATTCGTTTCCTCACGGTCCATGTACTTGACAAGTTTCTCTTCGGCGCGTTTGCAAGCGCGACCCCAAGCTCCTGGAACGTTCTGATGCTTTCTCAAGACTTTTTGCAAGGCCCACATTGTGGGAAGAACCCATTGTTTGGTGGGTTTGTTGGATTGGAAAAGTTGAGTCGTGGATTTGAACATCTCGAGTACAGGCCT